CCGGCCGCACCCGCCAGCCCTTCGCCGGCCCCCGCGAGCCCGGGAAGCCGGAGGGCGCCGCTCAGGAAGACCCCTCGCCGCCGGGCACGCAGAGCCCCTGAGTTTTAGCCCTGCCTTCGAGGGCTCCCGCGGAGTCCTCCCATTCGTGAGCGCAGACGCCCCTCGCGTTTCTAAGGGAGGAAATGTACCAGATGCACGACCGGCTTTTTACAAAACAACAACACAAACACAGGTGGTGTGTGCGCATCTGGCGTTCCTGTTTTGCTCACCCCTCCTCACCCTACTCTTTCCCCGCACACGCTGACCCCTGTCCCGTCCCCACCTGCTGTAAAAGAACCTCTGCAATAGCAATCCAGGCTGTTTTCTTTAAAGAACCCCAACCCCCAAGTCTTGCCGGCCTGTAGGCCCAGTTCCATTATCATTGAGAATAGAGAACGTGATCTTCTGGAAGCCGGGAGGTGAGCCCTTTGGGTGAGCTCCTGGAACCCGAGGAGGGAAGGCTGCTGCGGAGTCCCCTGGAACCGCAGGGAGAGGTCACCTGCCTGGGGAGCAGAGGGGTTCTGGCCTGGCCTGCCTGCCTGCTTCAGGAGTCTCCACCGACAGGAGGGTCTTTGGGAACTGAATTGATGCTTCAGTATTTTCTCATGATCACCTTTTTAAGAGGCGTACACTTTTCGGAGAAAGAAGTGGGATGCGGTCGTTCACGTTGCAGTCTATTCTGAAATGGTTTGAATAGCATCCCTTAGGAACTTGCACTTGTTTAAAAAGACACGGAGTTGGGCCATCGTCAGAATTAAGTCAGGGAAGGGGATGGATGAGGAGGCCAGAGTCATTCTTAGGACATCTGCTAGCACTTTATTGAGAAACTGACCAGGAATCACTTGACTCATCTTAATTTCATGCATACATACATATATAAAAAGTGCATCTCTACTCACCCTGTCATAGTTCCAAGTTTTTAAAATAATTTTTGTTGCTAAAAGAAATAGGAAGGTGCACTGAACTTAAAAACGAACGAGAAAACAAGTCCAAACTGATATATCCTATATTCGCTTAAATCACAAAAGTGGAGGAGAGCGTTGAACTGGTCAGTTTTGATTGGAAATCCTGAAAAGAGGTGGAATGCAGCTCTGTCAGGCCTTCCTATCTCCAAGTCTATGTATTTTCTGGAGACCAAACCAGATATGGATAATCACAAAGAAAGCTTTTTAAATAAGGCTTAAACCAAGACCTTGTCTAGATATTTTTAGTTTGTTGCCAAGGTAGCACTGTGAGAAATCTCACTTGAATGTTATGTAAGGGGTGAGACACAACAGTCTATGAGTGAAAAAAATAGCTGGGTCTTTTAGTCAGTTTGGTGCATTTGCTGCTGCTGTTGCTGCTGTTTGCCTAAACGCTGTGTTTAAACAACGTTAAAACTCTTAGCCGACAAGGTGGCTCTTATGTACATAGTTGTTAATACATCCAATTAATGATGTCTGACATGCTATTTTTGTAGGGAGAAAATATGTGCTAATGATATTTTGAGTTAAAATATCTGGGGGAGGATTTGCTGAAAAGTTGCACTTTTGTTACAATGCTTATGCTTGGTACAAGCTTATGCTGTCTTAAATTATTAAAAAAAAATAAATAAATACTGTCTGCAAGAAACCAGCTGGTTGAGAAAAGTTTAGTATGTGAAGATTTAAAGTAGAAATTCTTTATATTCTAGTATTTTCAGCACTCCATAAAATCTATGACCTAAATATTGCCACCCTATTTTGTGATTTAAACATTCTTACTAAGGAATAAAAACTTTAATATACGTTATGAGATTGTCTTAATAATTAAACAGACAGAATAATTGATGTTCAATTCATCTAAGATCTCTGATTCTATAGGGATCACAGCCACTCTAGATCTGAGATGTTCAGCTTTACTTGTCCTTGGGTTGATTATACGCAGTTTTAATGGTTTGCAAGCCTGCAGGCTCTGGCTGGGTCTGCTTGCATGTATCCTACCTGCTGTGTATCCTAATGAATAGTACAAAAGAGAACCCTGGCAATCCCATGCACTTTTTATCTTTGATACCATATATTCTCTGTGGGATGGTCTGGCATTTCTTTCCCACTGGGTCCTATATAATAGACTTCTGCTTAAAGGTGCTGAAGTTCTCGGAGTATGTTAGCTTCTTAACCTTCTTAAAAGTAATTCTATAGGGGATGACTTTTTCCTGGAACTCAAGGAACAGAAATAATTATATCTAGACTTTACTTAATTTATAGCCAATTTTGTGATTTGATAAATGTGTGAGGATCGTCAGTTTTTAGTTTCAGTTGTGTTTTTTGATCTTCAGATGGCTCTGAAATGACAGTTTCTATGACATGTAGAAAAAGTGCTCCCTCTGCTGACTTTATGGCAATTGAACTGCAAGTCAATTCAGGGCAATGTGGAGCCAGAAGGAACTTCAGAGATCAGCTGAGCAAGCCCCTACATTTTATAATACAAGGAAAATGAAGCCCAGAGATATCAAATATCTCCCCAAGGTCACACAGCTTCTTGGAGCCAGCACTAAAGACCAAATTGATTGTGTCCCACAGTTGGTGAGCTGCTCCGTCCCACTGCAGATACTGAACCACGTAAACAGAATTTGATTGGGCAGCACTCATGAAACATCACATGAATAGGAAATAAGGAACTAAATAAGCACTAGAGAGGTAAGATTTTTGAGCATTGCAATTTATTAAGCATCAGAAAAATTGCTAGAATATTTATGGGAAAAATAGCATTGAAAATATTGAGTTAAATTTTAATACATATTACAGTAAATTAGTTTCATGACCAAAAATAATTGAAAGTAAATCAGAGGATAGGAGTGTTTTAGCAGGTGTTTGATTTGGTATAGCAAAATGAAAACCCTAGGCTTGGGCCAGATTTGATAGGCCAGTTATCTAGTTCAAGTACCTATATAGTAATATGGTAATGAGAAGAATAGTGCAGACAGTTTGCAAAATAATACTCTGTAGCATCTGGAAAATGGTACTTGGTAATTATTTCATCTTAATTTGTTAATTATGATTTGAGTCACTATAATTTGCAAAGGAGGATTCTGTACCTACACTGATGAACTTTTAGCCAAAATGCTATGTTGTATTTGTGATTTACAACTTAAATATTAATCGAGTCAATAGTATTTTTTACATATATTATACTACATCATTTTCTTAGATGGACTTCTCAGCAAACTTTATTTTGAAGTGCTAAATGGCCTTTTCTCCTCAGAGAGCTTAGCACATTAAGACACTTTAAATGTTTTAATAGCGATTTTTAATTATAACTGGAGTTTTAGTGCCTATCGCTATGAAAATTCTTTTTCATTTACTTCTGTACTGGCCCTTCAGGCCATAACTTTGGTTATTGCCCACCACCTGAGATTTGTTCCTAAGTACTTGAAAGCAGCCTCAGCCTGTTTTTATGTCACAGGTCAATTCTGAACCTCTCCATGGCTGGGCAAAGGCCAGTTGAGACCTGGAAAATGTGGCTGATCAGACTAAGGCCTTTTATATTATATTAGATAGAAATGAACAGAACCTTTATGAACGAATGAAAGATATGGTAACGCCAATAGCTGTGTCACTGTGGTAACAGTATTTGACTTTATAGAATCATCTCATATTTTTCATTCAAAAAAATTCTTAGTCTATTGGACCTTGGATCAATATATTTAGGTGATTAGACATAGAGATGTTGTTTTCTGCAAGTTCAAGTGGAACTTGATTCATCCTTAAGTCCAGGGTAAATTCCATTTGTTCACAGATGTGGAGCATTTACACAGGGAGTTATAGATATTTTCCATGATTAAGATAAGATGGGAATTACATTACATAACATGTATACCATGTATTTTAAAAATAGGCTTGTAGAATAGAGTTGGGTAGTTCTCTTCAGATTGATTTCTTGTTCTAACTCAGTGATTCCATGTAAAAAATTCCAACCAAAAGTCAACATGTCTTTTAAAAAGTTTATATTTAAAAATTCAGTGATGCCCATTTTATCCGACCTCGGAGTGATACACAGCCCTGGGAAGAGTGTCTCAGAAAACTGCTGCTTCTGTATGTCCCAGTGCTAGCATAGCTTCTCTTTTATTTTTTAAAATTATTTTAGTGGCAAGTTTACAGAGTTATGTCACACATTCTCCAGGGTGTCATATACACTCTGAGGGGAGAAAATATACCTTTCCTGAGCTAACCTTTCTCCCTAATGCAGGGTTATCTTTGCAAACATCATGCTTTCACTCTGTACGTCATCTGGGGGTGCTGGCACCTGCACAAAATTCTTGTTGCATTCCTACATCTGCTTTTTATAGGTTTTCCAGCCTCTTCGCTCATGGTCAGCTGCCAGCTGTCACTTCTTGATGCGTCAGGGCGCCTGCTTCCAACTCTTATCTAATTTGCTACCTCAGACTTCGGTGGCCTGGGAAAGCAAGTAACCAAGCCACATCC